TGAATTTGACTCATTAGGAAAGGTTAAATTTGAGCACAAAAAGTCATGTGCTGAGATCTCTTTCTTCCCCCCTTCGTATACACTCCTCTCCCTCCCAAACCAGCAATATATATCTCACTGTAAATATGTACAGTGAAACCAGCTATGGCCAGGTTGGTTTTAATCTTTTAATCTGCTGGAGGGCCAATTTCTGGGACAGGAAAAATAAGATACTAAAGCATGAGATACAGAGCTATTGGTACAAGGAACACTAGCTTAACTTACTCTTCAATGAATTGGAGAAAGTGAGAAATGTGAGAAGGAAAGAGATATGGTCCTGCAAGTCACTGGCCATCCTGGGTGGCAGTTTGTTGAAGGTCCTGTTTAACTTCCAACTGCCCAGTGAAGGCTCCCAGCATACTCTGCAGTGGAAGCACTCAGTTTCTCTAAACTGCCATGGCAGTTTCCCATTTCTCACCCTTGAGTGTTTTGTTTGTCCTCCTTGTGAGATGGTGAATTGCCTTTCTGGGTAAGACTAAACTTTGTGGGAGATAAGGGGCAAGAGACGACAGTTTATATCATGGAATTATTTACGGAAACAAAATCCTCTTTCTCTTTCAAATCCATATCAATTATGTTTATGTTTTTAAAAGGCAGATAACTTCCATTTTACTAATACTAACAGGGAAAAATTACTCAGCCTGTGTTTTCAAAGTTCACTATCTTTTATGATATTTACTGACTGTGAGTTTTCTTCACTACTTATGTTCGTATCCATTCATTTGCTAATATGTTTGAATATTTGATAGAATTAGTCTCTTCCTTGTTGCTCCCTTTTAAAAATCGTTTTTTATATTTGATATTCTTGCTGGTTTATTTTTCCAAATGAATTTACAGAAATTTTATTGAGTTCAGTGCAAATTTTGTTGGGATTTCCTTAAATCTGAAAATAGCTTTATAACAAGTGACATTAGAAAAACAACTGCTAATGTGAATGTGACCTCTTACACAAAGGTACTGAGGATACTTTAAAAAGTTTGTGGAAAAATAGAATTGAAAGATAATACAATTTTTTCTATGAACTTTTTGAAATATTCTCATATTTCAGCTATACATAGTATACATAGGACTGCTATTGACTTTTTGTACCTTTTATCCATTAATTTTACTCAACTCATAATATACTAATTTTAAAACAAATTTAGCTTTTTAAAGTATATAACCATTTTATTTCAAAATGTTAGTGTTATATCTTCCTTGTCAAAAGTTAAAGCTCATTCCCTTTTAATGTTTACTATATTGGTCGGAAGATCTAAATGAGGTCAAATAATGGATGGTAACACAGGTCATTCTTATTTTGTTTCTATGGTTACAGAGAATGCTTCCAAGTTTTAATGGAACTATTTTTTTTTCCTTTTTGTCTTTTTTCGTGTCCGGCAACGGATCGCAACCCTCAGTGTCACGCCCATACCGGACCAGGACCGGCAACGGGATCGCAACCCTCGGTGTCACACCTGCACCTCGCTCAGCCAGTGAGTGGGAACTGGTCTGTATGTGGGATCCGAACCCTCGGCGGGAGCGCCACTGCGCTCCCAAGCGGCGCACTGTAGCAGTGCGCCACCGGGCCGGCCTTAATGGAACTATTTTTAAAGTTTATTCTGTACGTTTGAAGTATCTATCCTAGATGTAACTTAATCTGTTCTTGACAAGGGGCATTAGTAGTAGATACCCTTATGGTTTCCTCATCTCTAAATTAAGGAATTAGCCCAGATCAGTGGTTTTCACAGTTCCTTAGAACCACAGCTGGGAAGGGAAAGAAAGGCTAAAAGGGTGGAGGTTTGGGCCAAAGTAGGCCCACTTTTATCTATTTTACATCTTTGAAAGAAGGTTTTGATGCTAAAAAAAATTGAAAACCTTTGGATAAGAATGTAATATGTATGCTTTTTAAAGTCTCCCCCAACTCAAATTCTGTAAACAATTCCTATTTATTTTAGTTTATTTATTTTTATTTTTATTTTTTTCCTTTTTGTCTTTTTTCGTGACCAGCAACGGATCGCAACCCTCAGTGTCGCGCCCGTACTGGACCGGGACCGGCAACAGGATCGCGACCCTCGGTGTTGCTCCCACGCCTCGCTCACTGGCTGAGCAGCCGGTCTGTATGTGGGATCCGAACCCCCGGCGGGAGCACCGCCTATTTATTTTAGTTTAAGAATGACTTTTATGATAGAGCTATTAAAATTATTTCCAAAGTTTAAAAAATGAGGGAAAGCAGGATAAAAAATTGCATATAATGTACAATTATTCAAAGTATATATAAAAAACAGGGAAGAGACTGCATCTCTAGCAGTAAGTACTACGATGTAAGAGTTGCTCAATAAATGTTTATTAAAGGACTGAAAAGAAACATACAAAACTGTACTCATTTCTAGATGGATGCAATGATATGGAAGGTATGCTATTTCATCTTCTTCACAAATATTTTTACACTCAGAATATATCACTTTGATAATTAGAAAAAAAAAATACCATAGCAAACTGAAGTTCTCACAATTATAAAACCAGGTTCATTATGTTCCTTATATGAGGATACACCAAAAAGTTCATGGACGAATAGAATCAAAAGATAATAGAAATTTTTCTATGAACTTTTTGAAGTCCCCTCACACACAAGACAATAACTTTTTAGCTATCCTCCTTAACTCTAGTCTCTCCATTCTTGAAATCATTTTGCATCTAATTAGCAAATAAATCTTTCTTGAATACCCACATATATATTTCTTATATATGTCTATATTTTTCTTTTGCTTAAATGCTTTCAGTTTTATATTATCAACTTCTTTGGTTCCATAACATATATCTAACTTTGTTTCCTGTGAATTTCTAAGCTAGTTAACTCACAGTCTCATGACCATTATCAGGGTCATTCATTCTGATCTTGGCTCTTTTGTAAGAATCTAACACAATGCCTTGCTTTCTGCCTATTCAAACACAGCCCAAGCTTAGCTTCCTCTTTGAGACCTCTTAGGATACTCTAGCTCTCAAAGATCTTTTTACTCTTGTTCCTATAGTCCCAAATCTATTCCATGTAATTCAATGTTTGATCACAAAACGTCTCAGAGTTCTTGATATCAAGGAGCTTAAACCTTCCATCATCAACAAAGCCTGTTTGCTCCTTGATAACAAGAATTTGGATTTATACAGTTGACTCTTCATATCCATTAGTTCTGCATCTGTGGATTCAACCAACCATGGGATCGGAAATATTTGAAAAAAAATTGCATCCGTACTGAACATGTACAGACTTTTTTTTTTCTTGTCATTATTCCCTAAATAATACAGTATAACAAATATTTACATAGCCTTTGCATTGTGTTAGGTTTTATAAGTAATCTAAAGATGATTTAAAGTATACAGGAGGATGTGCAGAGGTTATATACAAATACTACACCATTTTATATCAGGGGCTTGAGCATCCATGGATGTTGGTATCAGTGGGAGGTACTGGAACTAATCCCCATGGATACCGGGGGACAACTATACTTATTTTGTTGTCTCTGCTTTCAGTCCAGAACTAGCTCAATAGTAAAGACTCTCAGGGAATTCATCAAATACTTGTTCATTGAAAGGAAAACACTTGAAAACCAAATATCACATCACTTGCTACAGGTAGGTAGCAATCAAGCCTTCCAGTTTAGTTAACTTTTCACAGCAAATTCCAGATTATCCTATATATTTCCATTTAAAAATAAATATTGTTAACACCATTGGGCAAGTAAGACATATGGCAATATAGAATGCTTTGGTAGCACTATGGCTGTGACTTAAATTACTGTGGATCAAACTGCCAGAAGCTGAGAAGATAACTGAATTTTCCTCTTCCTTTATCCTCTAGTGAGGACTGAAGATAACTATATCATGCCTATCAATGAAAATATTTAACAATAAAAAACTGAAAACACTGCTTTATAACTTAAATAATATAGTCTTACTACCAAATGTTTTAGTCATAGGATCTCTTGGAAGCTTGAGTGGAAGCAAACTTTAGGGTTTTAATTATGGATGAAGCCATACAATTCTGGAAGCAAAGTATAGCAAGCAGCCAAAAATGTTACACATATGATTTTACTCCAAATGGGCACATTGGCCAAATGGTGAGGCCCCATGCAATCACACAATTTGACCACCTCCTCCATAACCATCAAGAGGAATCTGGAAAATCTTTCATAGATATGAAATTCTCAGTAGACAAAATCAAATTGTTCTTGTTTTTAACGACGTTTAATAGTATTGAGTTGGATCTTAATACATTATAGGTATTTTATGGTCTTTCAGGATCTCTCTTCAAATAAAAAAAGATGGAAGGTAGAAAGGTACATCTTTTTTTTTTTTTTTTTTTTTTTTTTTTTTTTTTTAAAGAGAACCCAAAAAAAAAAAAAAAAATAACAAAAAAAGAAATTTTAAGGGCCCCTTTTTTTAAAAAAAAAAAAAAAAATAACAAAAAAAGAAATTTTAAGGGCCCCTTTTTTTAAAAAAAAAAAAAAAAATAACAAAAAAAGAAATTTTAAGGGCCCCTTTTTTTAAAAAAAAAAAAAAGGGAAGGGAAAAAGGTACATTTTTTTTTTTTTTTTTTTTTTTTTTTTACTTTTTACACAAAGGTGACCTTAAAATTCCTTCTGTAGTCATTAATTTTCTGATTGATTGAAAAGATTTAGCTGAAGCAAACTTTAATTTTCTTCACTTTTTTTTTTTTTTTTTTTTTTTTTTTACTTTTTATACAAAGGTGACCTTAAAATTCCTTCTGTAGTCATTAATTTTCTGATTGATTGAAAAGATTTAGCTGAAGCAAACTTTAATTTTCTTCACTTTAAAACTAACATGGATTTTTTAAAAGAGATACTGCTTCATTAATTCTACTTGTTACTCAGAACAAAGAAATTATATAAATCAAAATTATGAAATTCACCCAAAGTGTTTTTTGGAAAGGTGGGAAAAATTTTTATACTCAAGTTATGGAAACTTACCTTTAAAAGACTAAGATTCCTTTTAAAAGCAATCTCAGCTGCTTGCAGCTGAGATGCCTTTTCTGTGTTTTGATCTCCACATTTATTCTCCATTTGTTGAAGTAACATTAATCTTTGTGATACTCTAGAAAAAGTGAAGATTATATAAAGTTAAAAATTAAAAAATAAAACATTTTGTTGCCTGACCAATATAAAAAGTTTAGTTTTTAATTGCACCTCATTTCAAATCAAACATTCCTACATCAATTAATAAGACAGTGATAAACTTAGATAGTTCAATAAGTCTTAAGCCAATATGGGTATAATTATTTTTATTTTCATTAACATATTCTTTCTATATGCCATAAGTACATGCTTCTGTTTTTTTTAATCCCCTATGGTCTTTTAAAATTATTTTAGAGTGTTAAAGATCTGTTTTAATTTTTGGTGAAACTGTAATACATATCCTTTTGTACACATAGTTATATATACCTCCCCACACACATACATTGATATAACTTGCTATGTAAAACCTTCTGCTTAACACTTCAGTACCCCTGAATTTCATGTTACACATTTAGAATTGTGCTAAACTTCCATATGTTTGAAGAAGCAATAAAAATATTTTTTCCTCTTTTTCCAAGAGAAAGATGATGGTTCGATATATGAGCGAGAGGCTGTGTGTATGTATGTATACTACAAGGTAAAACAGTAATTGAAGATGTAAAGAGTGATAAGTAAATTATCAAACTACTTTGTTATATATATATACTTTAAAAGTTTCTTGCTGGTCAAATTCTCACACACTTTTGATCATCTTTAATTACTAATATGAAAATATGACAGATGATAAAAAAAAATACATAAGTGGTATCCATAACAGGTTAATTATTTCCCAAATATTTGTGGAGGTTCTCAGGAAACACTGTTTCATAGAGCTGTCTTGAAGGTAGAACTAAAAACCTAGGTCTTTATATGGTCATTTTCTTGTAAGGAAAATATCTTAAAAGGCCAAGGAAGAGGGCCTGGTAATTAATTAAATATAAGGAAAACCTGAGAGCCCACAGACAAAGGAGGAAAAGGGTTAATACTTAATGTAAGAACAGGACTGGTTACACGATTGGCAGGGCCCAGTGCAATATGATTCAAGACAGTGACAGAGAATTAAACCAAGCACAGGGCCTGTGATGGAATAGGTCACATACCCATGAAGCTGACCCTAGGCAAGAGGCTTAAAGAAGTCCATTAAAGGCCAATGTGGAGCCTAGAAAGGGCGAGGAAGGGTTACTTTATTTAGATATTATTAACAAAAGTAAAAAGACATAGAACATAATTATACCTTTTAATCTTGGTTATTCTTGAGATAATGAAATTCCTTAACACCAAAATCTCTTAAGTGTCAGAAAATTAAAATGACACTTTCAAAATGCTTCCTGTGCACACAGTGTTTCACTAATAAAGTCAATACAATTTCTATATTGGGTTACCCTTTTTAAAAAACTTACATTTCTTCATGTCTTTTAGAAAGGCGAATTTCTTGAGCGAACAAGGAAGTCATCGTTAATGAAAGGTGTGTTATAAGCTTTCTGCTAAATAATAAAAACATTTAAAGTTACTTCTACCACATGTCCTCAGCTTTGCAACATTTGATCATTTTAGTACCTCAATCCATTGGATTTCTAAGAAGAGACAATAAAACTTAAGATATAATAATGTATGAAATGAAAAGATGCATTTAAATACATTTTCATTCAGGATGCATAGTTTTTCATATGCCAGATGCATCCAAGAACACCATGAGTTAGGTAAATTCAACATGTTTCACATTTTCCTCCCATTTTCCCCCCATACGCTAACCTTAATCACAATTAAAAACAAATATGCAGCTGGTACTAAGACAAGTTAACACTGTATTGTATCAACAGATCGAGAGAAATCCACTCTGTAAAATTCAACACAGGAACACCATCCCTTTTGCATGTGCACACACACAGAGAAAAGCGAACAAGTATGAGAACCAACTGGAAATTCATGGTCTTTAGTTTATTGGAAGGCTGCCCAGTTCTCCCGTCTCTCTTCCAAATAGTATTTTTCATGTGTAACTGGGAGGAAAAGCACAATTAGGTACCTTTACTTTACCCTGGCCGCTCAGCACTCTCATGTTGGGGGTTTAGGAAAACCTATTTTCACGGTACACTTTCACCAAGAGAAAGCTCACCTTGACTAAAGAGCCTGGGCCAATATAGACAGAGGTATAGCGAAATGCTTCGAAGGCCCCAAGCAGGAAGGCAAATCATATGACTGGGCACAAAAGCTGAAGGTGACTGCCCTAAGGGATAAAGAAAATATTTTCACGGTACACTTTCACCAAGAGAAAGCTCACCTTGACTAAAGAGCCTGGGCCAATAAAGACAGAGGTATAGCGAAATGCTTCGAAGGCCCCAAGCAGGAAGGCAAATCATATGATTGGGCACAAAAGCTGAAGGTGACTGCCCTAAGGGATAAAGAAAAAAAAAATGAACGAAATTCCTTCCTGGAATACGGCTTTCTGAAATTTTATGAAATTAAACACCGATTGCCTATTCACAACCTGAGTGTCTAGCTCAGATTGAACTCTTCGTTCAGCACACACCTATTGAGTGTAGGGAGCAGAGCCCGGCCAGGGGAAATAAACACCGCCCTGCCCTCCTCGGGTTTCCTCCTCAAGGAGCGGCTGTCTTCTCTTCAGCACCGCGGACAGCAATCGCTCCCAGGCTTGCCCGCAGGGTTTAATTACAGGTATTTTCCGCTAAGGTCACTGCAGGCCAATCCTCGCGGCCTTCCTCCAAGTTTCATTTTGCAACGGAGCTAACTAATAGAGCCTCAGAGAAATCCCGGGAAATCAGTCCAGGGTAACCTCTGTTAGGCTCGCCATCAGCACTTCAGACAAATTCTGCCTTTTGAACCGAAGATCCGCACGGTCTTAGAGTCCTCAGACCTTCGCCCCAACTCCCGTTTATACCCAAAGGACTCATGAACTTTCCTCATCACCCCGACTCTTACCCTTAATAACAACCTCCCTATCGGCCCTGCAGGCGCCTGCGCCGTCGTGGAACAGTCCGGGCACCCACCCGCCGTTAGACTTCACTCACCGAGCCCGCCTCTGAGCTCTTCCGGGAAGGCGCTGAAGACTGCGCCGACACTGGGGCCTCTGCGCAGGCCTGGGCGTGGTCACCCTCTTTGCGCACGCGCGGTGCGCGGTGACGCCATCACATTCTTATAAAAGGCGCGGGCGTCCGGTGCTTCCGAAAGCTTGCTGAAGTGTGGCTTTCCTAGTGAGAAAGGTGGGCGTGTGGTACGCGGCGCGCGGGAGGGTGGCCTGAAAGGGTCCTTGTGACTCCCGGGGAGAATCCATTTGGTAGTAGCCCAATTCCAAGGCCTTTTAAAGTGGGACCTGATTATGTGAAAAGGGCTTTAGAGAGTGAGGTCCGTTTCTTAGAAGCTGGAATGGCCCAGTAGAGTGTGGAAGTGGGGGAAACTCTGCAAAGTAGTCCACTGTGTTTGAATGGATTATACGGTCCGGTTATTCAATAAATAGCTGTGGAGCAGCTTCGAAGTGCTTCGCCCAGAGCAGAGCAGCGAATCACCCCTAACTACAGTAGCACTGGTGGATCACGTCTTAAGGGGTTTCTGTGTGTCAGTCACCATATTTACGTGGGTTACCTTATTGAATCCCCACAACGCTCTGTGGGATAGGTACCTTGATCCTCCTTTGACAGCCGAGGAAACAAGCTTGGTTGTTAGCTTAGGTCGTAGCTTGAAACCAACAGAGCCTTTATTAAATTTCCCATAGCCAAACACTCAGGATTCACACTAGGTAATAATCCCTCAGTGTATTCTTAAACATCATCATTTTTATTCCGTGAAATGTCTGTGAGGTATGTGGTAGTATCAGTCCTTTAATTTACCGATGAAGAAACAGGTTCTCAAGAGAGATAAAGTTGTTTTCTTCCTAAAGTTTACTTAGCTGATAAAGGGTAAAGAGCTAGGACTCCAATGTAGGTGTTTTATTTTTTCCTCCCAGAATATCTACATAAAATTTTGCTCTTGCTTTGGTACTATTCACTTAATATTTCCTTTGCTCAGAAAGCCCCTTCCCCAGACACAGGTCCGGTTCCTCATATCTTTCAACATTACTTCCTCACGGAGGCATTCCCTGAACTCCCAGTATAAGACCCCCACCTCCTGGCTCCGTTTTCTTCCAGCTTTATTTTTCTCCACAACACAGTAATATTGTTCATTTGTTTACCAGTTTACCAATGCACCCACCACTAGAATTTGAACTTCCTGAGAACAGATATTTTTGTTTCTTTGATTAGCTGCTGTATCTTCACCAAGCAACTAGAACTGCCTGACATAAATATGCTCAATAAATATTTCTGAATGACTGAATGACATAATTCCCCCATTGAAATTCCATCATAATTTCAGAGATCTCTGGCTTCAGTTGATAGTAAAGATGAAAAATAGGCCCTTGAATGGTCTTATGTTCAGGAATGAAGTATGTGGAACTTTTGCATGGTTACAAGGCACTCTTGTTTATCTTTTATGTAAGTTTACAAATAAGGATTTTTCTTAAGTTGGTAAAGGGTTGCATGAAGTAGAGAACAGAGACTGCATATCAAAGCATTTGTTTGTTGCTTAAGACAAACTTTGCTTACCTCTGTGCTTTGCGTAAGTTTGCATATTAACATTGTTGGGACAAACTCAGCTCTTTCAACTCTGAGCGTAGCTTTTTTAGGTCAGTGTTTGCCGTAGCTGTGAACCAAGGAATGCCTTGGAAATTTTCTTGGATTTTTTAGGAGAACAGTAACCAGGAATATATCACAGATACTTAGAGGTTATCTGGATAGAAAGTGGTAACTTATAGCATTCCGTAGAAGTGCGATCTGCTGTGACAGCTACCCTTCTCATAACACAGCCCACGGTTGATCCTTTCTGTGAGTCAGTTGGCTGGTGAGGTGCAATCTCTGGCAACTTCACAGTGTAGCTATTAGTATATAGCTTCTGTGTTTATCAGGTAAGTTTGGGTACTTTTCTGGAGTGAGGTATTCACTGTCTACCGTGCAAATTATTGCAACCCACTAAGTAACACCTCGACCATAATGGGACATTCTGAAATGTGTAGTGAAGTTACTGTTTCCTAACCTTACTTGGACAAGTTCTGTGCACCAGCGTGCTATAATTATCCCCTTAGCCTCATATAATTTTCTGCAATTGTCCCTCATTATTTAGGCAGCATTGTGTAATTTAGTCAGAAATTCTATAAAGATGTTTTTTTTTTTTTCCTTTTTGTCTTTTTTCGTGTCTGGCAACGGATCGCAACCCTCAGTGTCGCGCCTGTACTGGACCAGGACCGGCAACGGGATTGCAACCCTCGGTGTTGCTCCCACACCTCGCTCAGCCAGTGAGCGGGAACCGGTCTGTATGTGGGATCCGAACCCTCGGCGGGAACGCCGTCGCGCTCTCAAGCGGCACACTGTAGCAGTGCGCCACCGGGCCGGCCCTATAAAGATGTATTTTTAAAGATGTATTTATTAAACCTGTAAGATGTAGTCTTAAGTCACTTAAGAGCCCAGAATCTGGCTGGGCTCCAAAAGTATAAAAAAAGGGGCCAGCCTGTGACTCACTTGGGAGAGTATGGTGCTGATAACACCAAGGCCACGGGTTCAGATCCCTATATAGGGATGGTCGGTTGGCTCACTTGGAGAGCGTGGTGCTGACAACATCAAGTCAGGGGTTAAGATCCCCTTACCGGTCATGTTTTTAAAAAAAAAAAAAAAAAAAAAAAAAAAAAGCAAAAAGCTAGAGGATGACAGATGACAACATAAAAATAGCTAATTTTTATTGAGTGCTCATTCTTTACCAGGCATTTTACATGAATTACCTCATCTAGTCCTTATAACAACCCTATGAGCAAGGTTACTAAACTCTTATTGACACCATTTTTATAGCTGAGAAAATTGAGGCTTAGAGAAATGACTTAAGATCACGCTGCTGGTAAATGAATTCCAGCCTGTTTGATGTTAGTATGCTGAATATATCTGTACGTTATATTGAGAATTAAAAAGAATCATGCAGATTATGAGGATGCTAGAGAAGAAGAGAGAGATCACTATTAGCTGGAGTAGTCTAGACAGCATTTTGAAGACTGGGGTGGACTTTGAAAAATGGGTGAGATTTGGAAGTCTCTTTTTGTGATTAGGTGTGACAGTTGTCAGGAGAGTATGGTGTGGGGTGTTCTAAGTGAAGGAAGCAGCATGCACAGGAATGTATACTTGAGAGGACATCTGGGGTGTGGCCCAGTGGAAAGAAAGCATTGAGAAGAATGTTTTCTCTTTACTTACCCCAACTTTGAAGATTTCGTTTCTGGTGCCAAAGAATTTTAAAATGGTGGTTTGACAGGAATAAAGAGGTGGGATTATTGGAGAAGGTGAGACTGGTGAGTAGTAGAGAATAGAAATGAGGACACAAAAAGAAAGCTTGAGGATAAAAAAGGAAGGACAAGCTTTAAAGACAAAGAAATAATCAAAAGAACTGCAGAACCCTTGACTATTTCAAAGAGTGAATTCTTTTATAGTTTATACAGAGGCCATCTTTTTAGTGAGATCCCTTTTGAGTTTACTCTGGATAGACAAACACTAAGAAAATAAAGAACTCACGACTGAAATGGAGTTAGCTTTTTTCTCATTTAAGGAAATCCTGGATGAAATTTGGTAAAGTGGGTCCAAATGCCTGTATTTCTTCTTTTCTTTACTTTGAAATAAAATAATTAGAATTTACCTTGTTCCATACTTGTAGTCTGTCCATTTTACTATAGAAAAATAGTCTACACTCGAAATATAACTGAAATGCTTTAAATTGGCCCTTGATGGATTTTGACCAGAGAGAATTTATAACCAGATACCTCTTTAGCTTTTGTTAGTGAACCAGGTATCAATCTACATCCAATCAGATAAAAGACTGCAATAGAGAAGTCATTATCACAGCAGATGCTTATGTTTTTAGACTTCCTAGGCTGAGAGAACAAGGTCTTGCTGCTGATAAAATTATGCTTAATTCTAGAGATTTCCAGTGAGAATTTGCATATGCCTCTTCCTTCCTTGGAAGAGCTAGTTCTAAAATTCACTTGAGAAGGCATTAGAATTTTTAAATTGAAAGAAAACATGATAATTCTTAGGAAATCCTGTGTATGTTTATGCATAGTAAATATGTATACTTTTTACTTCCCAAATTTCAATAATTTGAAGTTTACCCAATCCTTTTGTCTTAAACGGACACCTGTG